TACTGCAAAAAGATCGCTGCCTGCAGGGTGCCTGTCGAGCAGGCCATCCAACGTGTAAAAATTTACAGAGTGCTGCCAAAGCTGCCACACAAAAGGCCCCTCGCAACGAAGCTTGTGTGGGTATGTACCTGCCTGGCTAATCCGCAGAGCTTTATTATTGCTCAGTAGTGGCAGCATGGCTTGCCTTCAAGTGAAAAGACTTGATGGCCAGTTTTCCTTGCAATGCTTTTTATAGCTGCTTTATCAGCTTTGCATGGGTGTCACCATATCTGCTGTGTAAATTCACTTCCATTTTCCGGTCACTGCAAAGTATTGTTTCCTGCACCCACCACCACTGAAGCTTTGTGTTTTAGTCTTTTTTTCTAAGGCTTAAATTGTGCAAGTTCTGCATGTAACATTTTGTACGTCTGGTTAATTATTTTATGTAATGTTTAACATAGCTACTGCATTTTACTGGACAAGTGGGATGACGACACAATATGTTCTCAGCAATAACCAATAGCTTTGAAATTGCATCAGTTTACCGTAATCATTCAATCGTTTAGAGTTGCCTGAAGTGTAAGTTGCGGTATCAATAAAGTGGGATGAACTATAGGTGCAATGTTGGTGTATATTCATAACATTTCGTTGACATGTAACAGGGTAAGCAAGTTGCTGAAAATCGTACAGGAATTCATTACTCTAAGCCGTGCGAATTATGAGCAAGTATAGCACTAACTAGTTCGTTAAAAGTTCACAAAGCATGAAACACTCTAAACAAAAAGTTTCAGCTTTAGAACATAAATTTAAAGCGACTTAAAGGGACCATGAAATGACTTTTTTACTTTTTCCACATAACTTTTACAATAAACCGTCAATGTTCACTGAATGCCGAACAGGCATCCGTTTTCGTCTCGGTTTATTAACTTCTACACAAAAAATTAATGAAATATCGACTTTTTCTTGACCGCAAAATAAGCCGTGACGTACGATGTTTCCGGAACCGGAAGTTCTCTCTGCAGTAGGAGATGGGAGCGTTAGCGAGTTGGGGTGCGCCGGTGGGTTTTACTGCGCCGATGTCACCGACGTATTTTCTGAATCGGCGCCTCTCATCGCCGCATCGCAGCTGAACGAAATTCAATGAGATACGTTGCGCTACAGCGACAGCATGGGACTAGTCCCATACGCCGGTATGCCTGTTGGGAAGTGCAGATGGGAACAATTTGCCGCGGCGTTTTTCGCGGTCTCGGAGATGCAGGAGCGAGCCGACGTTAAAAAAGATACGTTTGAACTGTCAGCAAGAGCCACGTAAATACCTGTTCACACTCGGAGCGGACGCACGCGTTTGATGAAGTGCTGTATTCGCGCTGTTGGTAAGCGCTTCGGGACCAATCTTTTACAATTGCAACTCGATACTGACGCGACACTCGGCAAAGAAAGGTTGGACCGGTATTGCACGTATACCTCCCACGAACTGTTACAGCTCGACAGTGACGTGCAGTCTGTCAGAATAAAAATGGCATACCAATAACAAAGTGTACATACCGTGCTACGAAGGTAATCCATACAGCGTTTATTTCAGCTCTATATCACACAAAACAAGGAGAGGATCGACGAGGGTCCCTTTTCGACGAGTGTTCGTCAACACTGCCTCGGAAAACAAGGGGAAGAGATTGACCTCACCTCTTAACCTAAAATTGAGGTCAGCGATCAAACTATAGTACGGAAGGGTCCACAAGGGTAGCGCGGGCATATTCCATTCAGTACGCCAGCCGGTCGTAGGCAGACAGTCTTGCGACGAAGCAACGCTGCGCCGAGTCGGAGTGCCTGCTAGGCCTATATTCTGAGAGTTTCGTCGGAGCGGGATTCGCGGCTGTTGTTGCTCTTCTCGGGTGTTTGTGGATCCAGCGTTCTTGTTCGTCATGGTTTGTTTTAAGTACATTTCTTTCTTGCTGCTTGAAGTCGGCACGCACGAGATGAACACGTAGAAAAATAAACGTTCAGTCAGTCAGAGTTTTGAGAGGAAGGAAACCAAAGGAAATAACCGTTCTGAATCTGAACTTGGCCCTGCCCTACTGCGCACGCGCAGTAGTTGCTTCGTTTACCACACGATAGATGGCGCTTGGCTCTCAGCATTATCAAATTTGGCAATTTTCGCCACACATCTCTAATTATGCTACAAAATGTGGATCTGAATATTATTTAACAAAACTTTTAGGAAACATTCGCCGGCTATTTATTGTTTACGATTGCGGTGCTGGTAAGGTAGGCTCTTACCCAATAGGCGATGTGGATTCGGCTGACGTGCACCGATTCTGCGTATGCATCGTAGTGAAAAGGCAGAGCTTTCGAAGGAAAGAAGTCGCAAAAGAGTCCAGTTTTCTTTTAAAAGTTCTATAGCAAATAATTTTTTTTGGCTCCCTAGTCTTGTGTTTTTGTGTTCCTTTTCACACCTTTTACGACGTGCGGTGGATGAAATTCGATTTTTAAAATCATTTCATGGTCCCTTTAAGAATTTGCGGAAAAATGCCTCATTATGTAAGATTTGTTATAGAAGCCAAGTTTGGCATTTTGTTACGCTAGAAATATAGGCTCATATAAGTTTTTTTATTTGCGTCGGAATTTTTCGTTGATTTTTTCCCCATGTTTGCCTAAATATATCACGGCTATTGTATCACTTAGATACCTAATATGTATTTTAAATAATAGCCATATATAAGTAGAATACTATCTGAAAAGTATATGATGGTGTTAAAATTATTTCATGAGATACAGGCCTCCAAATTTTGCCTTTTGCCGTTCGAGAAGGCATGTTGGCAATTTTTAGAAAAATAAATATAATTTAAATAAATATTATTATATATTACAAGCAAGCCATACCCATAGTTTGTTTCTAGAAAGTATTAGAATTTTCCTAATTTTATTGTTTTAGTTATTCACTTTGAAACGTGGCCCCTTTATCAGTGTGCGTTAATGCAACTGCCCACCTCTTCGTGCCTTACAATTTTTCATGTCCCCAATTTTTTTCTAGTCAAAACTAAGTGTAGATTTGTTTATACCAGACACTAGACAATGGCATATAGAAACATCAATGGATTTCAAAATGTTGATTTTATCTGAAAGCACCCCACTTGCTTTTCAAAGCCATATGTGCATATGAACCTCCTCATTCCTGAACAAAAAACTAATGAATTGGTTCTTGAATAGCTCGCTCTATTTTTACTTATGAAGTCTAATAAGAACCAAAAAGCCGAAGTCACAAAACTTCATATCATGCTGGGAAGAACGACCCGAGGCACAAAATTGTTACCCTAATATATATGCTCTAATATATGTTCCAAAACTGCACAAGTTTCACAGTGTGATCAGTTGGCTGGCTATAATATTCCAAGTATTTCTGATAATTCAACAATCACCTCAAGCAAGGGATGAGCACACTCATGCCATTGTTTCTATTTTGCCCTATAGACCTTTCCAGAAACAGCTCGCTGGCCACCGCCATTTTGCGACTCGAGCGACCCCTATCAGCCAAAAATTTCTGCCACCCGCCTGAGCTGTGGAAACCCGGTCAGCGCGACTCCCCACCTGCATTGTGTGTTCGGAGTTCGCCGACTTTCCTTGAAAGTGTTTACTCTATTTGCCTGCTCAGGATGCTTGCATGTTTTTGTGATCTTCCATTGTAAGAACCAGGGAATACCAGGGCTTGTAGCCTGCTGGACCTTCGCAGGCAACGAACGAAGAGAGCGAGTGAAGAAAGCGAACGTCAAGCAGCCCGCGACGCTGGCGGTTCGACGTTCTTCAAGGATTATTTCCGTTGAGATAATCTCCGAAAAGCCTTCCCGGATATGTTCCCGGTCTTGGCGAGAAGTAGCTGATAGGGTTTGGGGTATGGCAACTAAATAGACATGTTCGTTCATTTGCTTTAGTGCTGTGTAAAAAAAACATCACTCTTCAAAACGTACCCCAAGACAAGCCGGATTCCGTCCGATCGTCGTGAAGTGACTATCGTCGACACTGTATATTGGATATGCTGTATTATTTGAGACCTTTCTCAATTCCTGTTCGGATAACGCGGCACCATGGGGTACGTACAATATATGTTGTTCGATTGATGAGACTCGTTGAATTTCATATAGTGAGGGCGAAAATACCCATGCAGTTCGGCTATCCTCTGGTGTGGTCAAATATGTTAGGCAGTTAAGATCTTTGTAGGTTGACACGGCTGAGTGTATGGTGCCGTTAAAAAGATCAACCTAAAATGAAACAAACATCCCAGTTGCATTTGTTCTGTCGCGCACAGACTCGCCGAAAATAGCTTTCATTTGTTTGTTTTTGTTCTCAAAAATAGTTCTACGCTTTCCTAATAATTTCGAGAAAGTCTTTTCGCCATAGAACACAAAAGAAAAAATAAAGCGAGGCGATTTTGCCGCTACCAGCGTTCGAAGTTTCTCCTACGCAGGCTTCCACAGCCTACTGACGAGAAAACCCACAGCTCAGCGCAGTCGGGCAACACTGACGTACACTCTCAAAACCAGGGATGCGCGCTGGAAATCGCTTCGTTCGAGACTGCCGCTGGAAAGGTCTATAGCTAGCATTCTGGGTTTTGGGTGAATAGTAATAGCAAACCTTACAACACTTCAGAAGCTGAAGAAAGAAACCCCCGTACTACAACGACACGTCACGACATCGAAGAGGTAATGAAGACGTGGCTACCACACGCGGTGGAGAAGCTCAGGAAGCTTGAGGAATCTGGTCTTGGCAACATCCTTTAACTTTTTTATGAGCATCTATATCCATGTATATTGTGCACTTTTTTTAATTCATGCTTCATTTTCTCTGTTCAAGCTCATCCTCAGATAATAACTTGTTTGACCTGCAGCCACAATTACACCACAGGACAAGTTTTCTTAGTTCATCATTATCATTTCCAGTAACTTCAGTGTTAAAATTCTAGTATCTTTATCTAGTTTTTTTTCTGTTCATTATTTCTAGTCAATTTACACTATTGCTTTCAAGAATTGCTCTTGCCTGACAAAGCTAGTCAACCTTAATTGTTTTACGGGTGTTTATATCAAGGAATAACGAATGCCTCTTGTCTGCAGCTAAATGATAACTTGTTAGACCAGCAGCCACATTTGCACAACAGAAGTGATTATCATTTCCAGTTTTATTTTGAAATTTTAGTGTCCTCGTCTTGTTCTTTTGATTTTATTGTGTCCAGTCATTTTGCTTAGGAGCCCTGACAAGCCCAAATTCATACTTTCTTTGTCTAAATAAGAAAAAAATAAAAAAAAAATCTCGAAAGAAACGTTCAGCACACTAGCAGACCCCTTAAAAATCCCAGTCCTCGTCTCCCTTCTGGGCTGCTCCCATCGTTTATCTCGGGACGTCGCAGGAAAGCCACATCACCCTCATTCCTCAAGGCTTTCCCGTGGCGTCCCTGGATAAACAAGAGGAGCCCAGTAGGGAAACGAGAACCCAGATTTTTAAAGGGTGTGCTAGCATTCTAGGAATGTTGTTTTGATTGGCAATTATCTCCTTATGTATTTTTTTTATTTTTAGGACAAAAATTTGAAGTTTGGCCTTTAACTGATTCAGAGTACTGTTCTTGCTCGTTTAGTTCAATAAATATTTTGGCTGGCACTTTCTGTCTGCTTTTCTGTGAAAATAATTCAAACTTTTTTGTGTGTGTTGGTTTCATGGTTTTCAAGGAGCCTGAGCAGCATCCGTCGCAAGCCAGTTCGGCAGTTGCATGGGTGACCCAAAAAAGCCAGTCAGCTATCAAGCATCGTCTAATGGTATTTTGGACACATGATGACCTGATAATATGCAGCAAACATTAAAAAAGAATAAGCACCCGAGGCAAATGAAATCAGCTGTATGTTCTTAGCAGTCGTGTCAAAATTTGTAACTATATTTTTCATTGTAACTAACTCTGTAAAATAAATTAAGTCAGCTCTTTAAATATTGATATGATATAAGAGCTGAACTGTGATTAGCAATGTTGTAGAGGATCATGAGAAACCTACAATTATACTGTTTAAAACAAGGTGTGGTTTCTGTATAGTCCTATTTACAAAACAAAAAATGCCTAAGAAATTTTGAAACGCCCTTTGATCATCCACCTTCCAATAGCGGTCCATGTGCCTTGGTTCATGAGTGTTTTTTCTTGCCTTCCAAAGAGGACAAGTCAAAGCACACTGTTGTAAACATCATAATCGGTCATTTCTCATGACATTCTAAGACTTCAAATCTCACTTGAGCTCCTAGACCAATAAATAAAAAGTTGATCAATTTTACCTAATTAGTTAATTAACCACAATGAAATAAATAGTGACATTTTCTGAAGATGACTGCATCAACATAGAGTTGCTTTTCTCGTCTAGAGCGTTTCATTATTTTATTGAAGTTCGCTGCGTGTTACCTGGGGCACCTGTATATATATTTCTGTACTTCATTATTGATCAAACGCTTCCTTGACGATATGCATTGACTGGACAGGTGAGGTGCCTTTGTCTCAGAAAGCTCCCCATGCAGTCCTTAGGGCCGGCAGCACAGGATGTTCTCAGGACATAATGGGTCTAGACAAAAAGACCATTTGAGGATCATTCGAGACTCTTTCAGGATGTCCTCGGGACTACCCACCATCGTGGACTCAACATCCACACTACATCCTCAGGATGCCATTGCGTCGACAATGGGTTGAAGATTCCTGTCACCCCGTTGGCCACGCCTGTGACTTGAGAGCGACAATAGGCCATTTGCGTAATTTGCAAGCATCAAGGAGCAGGCTGGTTTTGCTCATAGGTGAAACGAGCAAAAAAATTGGCTGCATCATCCACTACCCCTGGACCCATGTAGTAGCTTCCCTGCAGTGTTTCCCTTGGCACCAATAAGCAAAAGTTCAGTTTTGCTCATTGGTGCTTTGAGCCATCCCCAAAGTTGGCTTCACCTAAACATATGAAGTTGTCCCTTTTACCAATTTGCAGCTTGCCTGCAGTGCTCCTATAAACGCAAATGAGCAAACGCCACCTTGTGCTTCTTGGTGCCACACTGCTCATTGAAGCTCAGTGAGTTTGATACTGTTCCTCAATGTGAGTGGGCTTCCAGTTTCCAGCAGGTTTGATTTGATACGAGCAGTTGGGATGTTTTGATTTTTGTTAAAGAGTCAGTGCTATGTTTCCGGAGCCACACATCATTTGCTAGTTACTCAAGCAAGCCTCAAACCACCATCAAGAAACCAGACAGTTCATTGACATTTCTGATGGCTACTTTGGGTAGACACCTCAGACGTCTGACCTTGGTTCAAGAGAGCAGATTCACCTCCCCTACAGAGACACTCGGACATCTCAGCCAATCTCAAGTGTTGGTCTCGGATCACTCTTGAATCAGCAGAAGCAGGAGGCAGAAGCAAAAGCGACAGAAGTGAATGAAAAAGGCACCACCTATGTCACTCATGCTCACCTTGACCGACCAGCTTGCAAAATCTTCCCGCCTTCGGTACCGAAAAGATACTGTCTGGGAGCCGAAGGCCAGTGAATTTTTAACACAGCATCCGACACGAAGCCTACAAGCACCGCCAGGCCCGTAGCCAGGATTTTTTTTTCAAGAGGGGGGGGGGGGGGGGAAGGGCCGAGAGATTTGATAAGTGGTAGAAGGGGGACATCATTGATTACTTGACCTGCCACGCCAGTGATCAGTATGAAGAGGCTTGACAAGGGCAACAGTTTGCAGAATAATAAATAGAGAACTGCAAGCGAGTTTGTCAATCTTTCTGCAATTCAGTCAACAGAGGTCTCCTCAAGCAATCGAATGGAGAAGGAAGGGCTGGTCGGGGCGTTCAAACCCCTCCAAGAACAAGGTGTCGAGGTTGGCACAATCGTAACTGACCACCACCGTGAGGTAAACGCTTACCAGCGGATCAACCACCCTGCCATGCAGCACCGCTTTGATGCTTGGCACTTTGCAAAAGGTGGGAGCTTGCTTAGTATCATTTTTTATGCTTAGCACGTATTTTTAATGCATCAGAATTCGAATAGCATATTTTTACTCAAACTCCAGTCTTTTCAAGTCCTTGCATTTTATGTGACGAAAATTGTTTAGGTATCAAAAAGAACATAGATGCAGTTAAAAGGACAAAGGCACATGAGGTGCTGTGTAAGTGGAAAAGCACCATCACACGCCACCGTACCAGCGACGGTGATGGCGACCTTGTCCTTGCCAAGTGGAAGTCCATCATGCAGCACGTCATGGACGTCCACATCCACAGAGATCCTCTGCATCCAACCTGTGCGCATGGCGACATCGGACACCGGAAATGGCTGGAGGAAGGCAAGCCTAGTAGAGGTACCTGCTGCTCCTATCTGTACCTAAAAATTCCTCACTTTTGTACAGGCACAGAAACCTTCAGGCAACTGGAGTCTGTACTCATGCCCGGCCATCTGCTCAGAGACATCCCCAGGATCTCACCTAAGGAGCAGACATACGCATTAGAATCCTTCCATGGTATCCTGGTCCATTTCGCACCAAAGTCGAGCAAATTCAAGTATGAGGGAATGCTGGCACGGTAAGCAAGTGTGCTCATTAGGGTCCTCAAACAAAATAGTCGTAACATTTATATAGCTAGCTCTGGCATCTCAAGCGCATGTGTCAAGATACCACATATAGGAACTTTGTTGGTATGTTTTTGTTCTTTTTGAGTTTGTGCTATAGGGGAAAATTGAGCAGGAACAAAGTCCTGAAAGAATTGGCAGTTTTTATCTTTTATATTGTTTATCCAAGCACAAGTGACGAGGACGCGTCGTCTTGCCCCGAAAAACTGATATTCCGGCGCGTAATCGCAAAGAAAACAAAATATTTGCAAGATCCGCAGCCGCGTGTAGTGGTTAACGGAAATTATGTGTGACGTGATCTGGTGGATACACAAAAGTGAACAAAACCTGCCCCCCTCCACTGATACACTCGCCATCAGCCCCGTGGCGAACCTTTTGTGTCGATCGCTCGCCGTGACCTTCGACGATGCTAATCCTTCAAAAGTATGATCGCGGAGGAAGTGACTGGGATTTCTGAAGAGAGAACGCAAAGGGGCACCACGTGATCCCCCAGAGTATGTTACTCAAAAGGCGACGTGGAAGGTTGAGAGGCACTTTGACCTTCGATTTGTTTCATTTTTTATTACATAAAAACTAGAGCTCACAAGAAGGTACGGTTTTCTGTTCTTCGTTCCACGGGCGACACAAATTAATTTCCGCAGTTAATAGGTCAAAGTTTCAAAAATCGTTGTACCGCCCCTGTAAGGCCCGTCACACACTTGTGCTTGATGACGACAGACTGAGATGACCCATTTTTAAGCCTCTTGTGATGGCTTACACCCGGCTGCGTTGCTGCGTATCTGGTTGTAAGCAGTCCTAAGAGGCTTAAAAACCGGTCTTGTCTCAGTCCGTCGGAGTCAAACGCACGTGTGTGAACGGGGCTTTATCCACCACTCGTTTTGCACAGGAAGCAAAAGTTCGCAGTAATTTCATTAATTTATTTGAGGCTTATATATGAGGGCATTTTGTTAATGCAGACTAATAAGTATGGAAAGGCATTATTGGTTTAAATTCTTTAGGCTGCTGCACAATGTTGGCAAGCCCAATTCACTGAATTTGATTTTTTGTAGAACCCAGATAGCGGACATCCACTACAACTTCAATGCAGAGAGGGCCATAAAGCTGACAGCGGATGGCGAGGAACAGTATGCCCAGCGTTGGTCGAAGGCAGACAAGCAGTGGAGGTTGATCGTCCTGAAAAAGGCAGCAGCATACGGTAAGAACGCTTGGAGTAATGTAATTAATATCAGAAAAATTGAGATCATGGGGTTATCGCAAACCATATATGGAGATAGTTGAGAGCACTAAATCATAAACTTGCCTCAATTGCCTTGTTTGTTCCAGGCTATGTCAGCAAGCTAATTGATGCTGTCCTGGCCTGCGTGGCACACTGGCCTACCTACGAGTTGGCGGCACAAGCACAAGCTGCGCAACGCGTCGTGCATGCAACCCTCGCAGACAGGTGTGGACCACGACCAAGCAAGGGAGAGCCAGTGAAACGCCACCGTTCAAAGATTTCCGTGTGATCATTTCGTGTCACGAGCTTTTCCTCGTGTTGTATTCACGTAGGCCTGGTGTGTATTCCTCCTGCGTCAATTCTGTGTCCGAAGAACTTGGCTTTGCGAACTGCAAACTGACATTTTTTCTTTCTTCAGCCAAAGGCCTGCGTCTTTGAGTTGGGACAGTACTTGGTCCAGACGTGCAGCATGTTGTTTACAACTATCTCCACTCACAATGATATCGTCAAAGTAGATACTTATGCCCTGAATATGTCAGCCAAGGTTGTTTCCATTGTACGCTGAGAAATTGCGGGTGCCGCTGATATCTCGAAAGGCAGGCATTTCACCTTGTACAAGCCCTTTATGGTGTTGATAGTCAAGACAGCTGCTGTGGCTTCAGACAATTTCAATTGTTGGTAGGCTTGGCACAGGTCCAACGTCAAGAAAATGGTGCCCCCTCTCAGATTCGCCACAACTTCTGTAGTTGGTAGTGAGTAGGCTGCCTTGTCTGTAGCGGAGTTGACAGTCGGCTTCCAGCAGTGTTTCGACATAGGATTTAACTTTTTGTTTAAAGTGTTTAAAAGGACATTTCTCTGGATTTAGTCAACTATGTATAAAATGTGCATAAAAGGAAGCTGATTATGTTCAGAATAAATGTTTGTAATTTGCAGTCTGGTAATATTTTTTTGCTTTGTAAATGGCATTGATTGACTTGTATATGCATTGACAAGACACTTCTGTGGCACTGATTATAGCTTCTGCTATAAATAACCGTGTAATCGAACTGAAATAAACGTAAGCAATAAACTTGCTTGATGGTGTCCAGAACACATAGGCCAATTACACACTTTGAAAACCCTAATGTGTGAAGCAGGTGTACTCACTTATGCCCAAGAAAATAAGTGGTAGTCAGACGACGGAAATCCTTCCCGAATCTTTCGGAAAACATGCCCAGGTAGCCGATGTCGCCTGGACCTTCCCCATGCCCAGCTTACGAATATCCGGTATGCTGTGTATCTCAGCTTCCTAGTAAAAAAATTATTTATATTAAAAGAAAAAATTATTAAGCCCACTACTAGCGTATGTGTTGCGAGTCGACAAATGGAAGCCTCCAAAATGCTTTGGTACCAGTAACTCCTCGGCATTTGTAGATACTAATTATTATAAATATCTACAAATACTGAGGAGTTACTGCAACTAATACTCTTTACTTGCAAACGTAATGTAACCCCGGTTGCTTGCAAAGCTAGAACAATACGGCGAGAGCCGCAGTTATTACGCACATCTTCCACCCCATGTAGAATGCAATAGACGAAAATAATTATAAATGCGCCAAAAACAAAAAAAAACGGGAAGCAAACATTTTGCTGCATAAGTCCGGTAATCTGGGTTCTAAATACACACCTATTTCCATCGTCTGCTTCGAGGTAGGTGGGCGTGAAGTGCTCCATGAGGCGAGCGTGGACCTCTAACTGGTCTTTGTGGAGGCAGAGGAGCCGAAACAACTCGTTTCGCGTGACGCACCCGTCCCGCAGGAGCGGGGCCATTTCCCCGATCTCTTGGCAACAGAGATCCTCGTCAGGCAGTGTCGGCTGACAACTGCCACAGGAGCACCTGTATAAATAAACGGTATTACCAGGAGCCGATGTTAGGTTTGGGAATCTGGAAACGATTTCAATCATCACTAACGAGTCGCGAAGGATCGCTCCTGCTCTCTGACCGGTCGGTTCGAACGATTGAAAACGTGGTTCAAGTTACGACACTTAGCCAGTAATAGAACGCTCTCAGCAAAATGTTAGCAAGCCATACCATTCTGCTTCAGAAGCGGCATCTGGGTCCACATGGCGGCGGATCGGGAACACGCCGGCGGGTCGTTCTCTAGGTGGTGATGCCAGCAGATCAAACGCAAACGGAGAGTCATCATCCTCAAAGTCTAGCAGCATCCCCACATCATCGCTAGACGGGGATGAGCTTGATGACGAGCTTGTTTCGAACTCCATTTCGAAATGCGTAAGACCTCGGCAGCGGCCGCACGACAGGTTACAGAGTGCACGGCTACGCACGTGCCAATGTTTGCACCATTTCTGACGTCATGACAAAATGGCGGACCAAAGTAGTTTTGGTTTCGGTTGTGCCGTTTGTACGCAATTATATATTCATTGAATATAATTCTGCTGATAAAACTGCTGTTTTCGGCTCAGTTTCTCATACTTTATCTAAATATATGTTCAGTTAAAAACGTCCAAAATAGCTCCGGAGTACCCCTTTAATCCGACACTGAGCATATAAATGTTGTAAAAAAGAAAACCAAGCTAGCGTAAAATAATCAAAACTGCTAATTTAACTTATAATTTGAGCGTGTTCTACAACCAAAAGATGAGAATATGATCACTTTAGTCGACAGCACTGGAAACGTAATTCCTCCTAGCCAGTGTGCATTGGTGCTGAATAAAGTGTTTTCATGCAACTTTTCTGTAACGTCAGGTGTCCCCACACCGAGGCTTTCTTTTCGCTAAACCGTGCTTATGTATTGGTTTTATTTACATACTCCGTTGTAACAGAGTTAATTTTGAGATGATAAGCCGATTTATTAAACTCGGGTCAAAAAAAGATTTAATATACACACATCTTGGATATCTTGGTACCAGGAAGAAGAGCGGAAGTGGCCGCGGGCCGCGGCCCTTTGTCTGTCTACCGCAAGGCCTTCGCGCCATTCAAGCAGCCAGCCAATACAAGAACGTCCCCCAAAGTCCAATCGGGGCCATCTTATGACAACACAAAAATCTACACGCCAAACACCGTGCAACTAGAATAACGCACAGATACGCGAGGTAAAAAAAAACACACACACACACCACAAAGCAAAGTACACATACATAAACTAAAACAGATCGCGATAACTTTCCTGAATCACCAAACTGTCACTTGTTAACTTGCTTTCCCCCCAACATATTTCGCCGACGGAGGAAGACCCGCCACTCCACCTAAAATAACACACAAAATGACGAGGGGTCCCAGCACCCTAACAGCAAGACCTAACGGTGCCACTGGACAGGGGACCGGAAGAGGGGAGTGGCTTCCAAGAACTTTGGGGCCAGCTGGACCAAGACCAAGACTTCTCGACAACAAGTGCTCGCGAAAAGCGAAATGTCCCGCAGAGTGGGAAAGAAGCAACTAAACCAAGTAATATATATATATACGAAGACCGCAGGCATAACTTCGCGACACCGTGATCCATATCAATGTCCGCGAAAGGCAGATATGAAGTAGATACTCTTGCATGATAACATACTTTTCAGATAAAATATACTTCACAATCTGTTGCTACACAGGCAACATATTATTTATAGGTTCAACTCGCCTAAAGTATAGAATCGACCACTCTTGAAAGAGACAGCAAAAATATTGCAAAATGTAATAGGGACCACTTTGTTCGAGTTCGGAAGTGGTACCACTGTTTCCGAGACCAGTTTGTTCAAACTATATTCTCCAAGACCATCCGCGTCTGATCCGCATTCGCACATTCGTTTTACATCATAAATGCAAGAGTGAATGAAAAAAAAAAAAAGAGTGGGGACAGTTGCACGCGTCTAATTCCTTTTGTTGTCTTTTTGCATGTTTCTTAGTATGACCATTCACCCAGCTTGTCTCCGCGTTAACCATTCTTTCAGTTGCAATCAGTTTCTAAGTAGGGTTCTGCGTTTCGGGATAAATCTGATATAATTCTAAATACCCACGTCGATAAAATATTTATGTCTTAAATTTTTCCGAAACACTCCGAGAGTGTGGACTGCCTGTTGCAAAATGCCGACCGGTATTTAAGTTTCTTACGATTCTCGGACAGCTTTTGCGATTTTCATTTAAGTATCCCCTTCTGCTTCTGGACTTCGCAAAGAAGCAAAATCTGACATCCTATTAAAAGATAAGGGAGCCCTCCAACGCCATTAGCCAAACACCTCTTGACTGCTGTACCAGGAATTCGCCGAGGGCTTTTATATCTCTTACCTCTTTTTGTTTGGAACTATTGAAATGCTTGCTTGTTATACGCGTATCTCAATTTCAGTCAAACTTTTTCAGCACCACCAGGCGATTATTACATGAGAAGCGGAACCACCTCGATAATTAGGACAAAGCGTACAAATATTTGGAAGTCACCAGCGATGAATTTATTGTTTCCACATTCTGTAAGAGTGCCCTTAGGATCACTGAACACCAGAACACGCACGTCCTTGTGAAAGGCACCTGAAAGTGAATTCTAAAAAAATGAAGCTTGTATACACCTTTCCAAAAAACACTCGACGCCAGGGGCAACGAAACGTTTTCGAGCCCAGTCACTGAGTTTGAGGCTAGACTCTCACCGGCATCACTCCTAACCCTAACCGAGTTTCAAACGCTGCTGGCGGCTAAATTCTCGTCGCTTCCCGCTATATTTTGTGCTTCATGGTACATGTATGTTCCCGAGGACATTGAGAAAGCATTGTGCCACATTTGAAAAACAAAAAAGGAAGAAAAAAAAGCTGTAAACTATTTTTGTTGGGTACGCGCGCGACAGAACGAATGCGACTGGACTGTATAGTTCTAGTTATTTGTTTTTTTTCTTACGATAAGTTTTGACGGCGCCGCAGGATTCGCCACATGTGAAACGACAAAGCGCTTTGCTGTCAAAAATAAATTGCAACAGAAGAGGGCCGAAAGTCATGCATTTTTCACGCTCACAAATAACGTGTTTACCGATGGACAGGAGAAGTGTTAACATTCTAACAATAGATCGTACGTACCACACGATGCAGCGTTATCCGAAAAGAATTTATTTGAGAAAAATCTCAAATAACAGTCACAGTCGACGACAGTCACATCTTGTCGATCGGACGGAATCCGAGACGACTTCGTTTTGGGGCACGTTTCGGGGAGAGCTTCCTTTTTTCACAACAGCTCCAAGGCAAAGAAACAAACGCGACTGACCCATTTCTCACCCCAACCCGGACAACTATTTTTGGAGATGACTGAGGATTCTACGCGGATTATCTCTGGGAGGGGGGAGAACAATGTTTGCAAAATCGCAATGAGGGTCGTTCGACGTCCTTCACCTCCTTCGTTTCCCGTGAATGTCGAGCAGAAAAGCTTGAATGGCAGGCACTTACCAGCCTTATTTCTCACAATGGAAGATAACACAAAAAGGGTACACAGCACGCATAAAAAAAAATTAAGTGGAAACTTTCGAGAGGCGAGAAAACGTTGAATGCAAAACCGGAAGAACGTAGGTAGAGATTTGCGCTGAGCGGGTCTTCACAGTCCCAGAGAGTGGCAGAAAATTCTAGCTGATAGAGGGCGCGAGAGTCGCATCAGCATCAGCAACATGGTGGCGGCCTAGGAGCATTTTTTGGAAAGGTGTATACATGTGTGAACTGCTGTTTTAACCTATGTCACTGTTTCATGAACTCTCAGACTCCTCGACCCACCACAAATCGTCGCGACCCCGCGACCCCCACGCATACACCAAAACGCCCCCATTCTTCGTGGTGCTACAAGATTTTTGTAATTTTACTCATTATAGTAGTAAACGGGCACTACCAGTAACACTGAACAATTTTCTGTGACATCACGCACCCTGTGTAAATTAACGGGGCTATAGGGGACAGTGTCCGGACATATCGGTGTAGGGCGTTTTCGGTGCGGTCTTTTCAGTGCATTGACTTTTCGGTGCACGGACCTTTCGGTGCACGGACCTTTCGGTGCCCGGACATTTCGGTGCCCGGACATTTCGGTGCCCGGACATTTCGGTGCCCGGACATTTCGGTGCGCGGACTTTTCGATGTACGGACTTTTCGATGTGGAACTTTTCGGTGTGCGAACCTTTTTATGCGCGGATATTTCGGTGCACGGACTTTTCGGTGTACTGACATTTCGGTGCACAGAAAATTAAAATCACAATTTTTTTTTTTGTTTTCTCTAAATGTAATTATTAATTTTTTTCGCACTTGATAAATATTTAGACTTGGTCATCCATTTACGGTCACTTACTGATATACCACTTAAGTGACTTTGTTAGGTGCAGCACCATTCTGTGTGAGGATTGGAGACGTTGGACATAACGGTTCGTTTGTTGGTGTCTCTTTTCCAATGTACGCACTTGTCGCATCACTTCGTGTTTACACGTTGGGTCGATACAGACGTTCTCAGCGCCTTCTGTAAAGGTGTGGGCTTTATTATTAATAATCTGTGTAGGAAGGGCCCCAACAGCAAGCATGAGATTGTTAAAAATTACCCGAGACATGTGATATGACTATTGCGTACGTTGGAAAAGAGACACCAACAAACAAACCATAACTTCCAACATCTCCAATCCTTACGCAGGATGATACTGCACCTAACAAAGTCACTTAAGTGGTATATCAGTAAGTGACCGTAATAGGATGACCAAGTCTAAAAAATTATGAAGTGCGAAGAAATAGATTTTTAGCTAAAATAGTGCTTATTACGTTTAGAAAAAAAAAAAAAAACTCGAGATTTTGATTTTTTGTGCACCGAAATGTTTGTGTACCGAAAAGTCCGTGCACCGAAATGTCCGCGCATCGAAAAGTCCCACAGCGAAAAGTCCGTGCACCGAAACGTCCGTGCACCGAAAAGTCCGCACCGATATGTTCTACACCGAAACGCCCAAACGCAGCGTCAGACTTGGCTACTGTGCAACGGAGGCGCACAGCAGGTCACGCGGCGGCGCCAGTGTGTCTGCCATGGCTATGACGTCACTCCTCTGGAATGCGCAGACCAGCGAGGCAAGCGCGGCGGCGGCGGCTCCGGCGCACCAGTTGTGCGCCGTGTGACATCACTGCTCCTCGCGCAAGCACAGCACAGAGCACGGCTCATTATGCGAGCCACGCGAAACTGCTTGACCTCAACCAGTGTAGCTCACGCTACAAAAGCAGTACTCTTGTAGGTGTTTGTCATAGACAAAAGGTCAGTATATTTCTAGGTCCCGACATAAAATCTGACTTAGTAACCAATTTTCCAACCAGGCACTTTCCGTCACGACGAAGAGCATGCAAGAGCACTCCTACCGCTGTCAGTCGCAGCAAAGCGAGCGGCCCGCCCGTGCGGCGGCGCGTAACGATTTTTAGAGGAGCATTTAAAAGGACAATTTGTAGCCAAACTTGGTGACGGGTGACGACGGTTGGTGACACCAGAAAGAACAAGAGAAATTTAAAAAAAGACAAGTTCAATTAAACACTGTATAGCGCTGTCTTTTCTTTTCCCAAAAAAGGCAGACAAACAGAGCTCTAGATAAAAAGACTAAGCGGCAGGTTGCGCGAGCTATAAATAGTCCGAGTGTCACCGCCGTACCTCTCTCTTCGACCCCCCCCCCCCTCCCAAACCCTATAACAATAAAAAAAAAAAAGAAATCACGAGGTTCGCGCGCATATTTCCCCCTTTTATTTCGTGTCCGGTGCTTTTAGGACGCTGCTGGATCGCATTGTTTCGTTCACCACTTTAAAGGCAGGTAGCGCTGTAGGTTGCATGAGTTATAAATAGTTTGAATGCCGCCGCAGTGTACTCTTTTTCTATTTCTTTTTTGAAAGAGGCACGGGTTTATAGTCTGAAAACAATATAAAAAAAAAGAACACGAGTTCCTCCAAAAATGCAGAGCGATTGATATGTCTTCGCCCAAAATGCAAGCACAGGACCAACATTTGTGGCGCCATCTCTCCCCCGAACAAGCCAGCGGAGGCAACAGCGAGTAGCTCGTTTCCCAGCGAACGCTGGTGGCGCCGTATCTCGCCGGAGAAAAGAAGCGTAGTCGAGCGAAGGCAACAGCAAGTCGCCGCATTCCCTTTGGCCGTCCGGGTGTGCGTCCAGACTTCCCGGCGAACGCGCGCGCACACGACGAACGCTTGTGGCGCCGTCTCTCACCGGAGAAAAGCGTAGGCAAAACTAAGCACTGCCTCCTGAGCGTTCGGCGCCGCCCCCTACACCGCTGGGGCGGCCCCCGTCTCCCTTTTTCCCCCTCCCCCTCCCCCTCCCCCCCCGGCTCCGCCCCCTTCCGTTCTCCGCCCGACCAGCGGCATCAATAACAACTTTGGCATGTTGCACAAAATGCTACGGTTATGTATCTGGCGAAGTTTGAGCGTGCCACGATCCATATATTTCTGCAGTGAGAAAAACACTACTCTCCTTTATCGCGGAAAGATGCAGCACATTGGAAACTTATTTTTGTAAAACTGAATGTCACTTTAAACCTTTTGCTGGAGAACTTTATTAAAATAAAGGACACACGAGACATTTGTCTCTCAAACCGCTGTAACTATGCAGTATGTGCAGCTATGTTGTAAATGCTGCAACTATGCAGTATATGTATAGGTACAGTGTGAGGAGGTTCGTTACTTGAGGTCAAGCTCTCTTTGAATATATCAAATTATTGACGAGGCAAGTACTGGTTTTGTGTAAGCTTTAGTAATTCTGTTGAAAAACAATAGCGATACAAATACAGAGAAAAACATGAAATACGTTACAGGATACACAATTTCTTTAGGGCACTCATAAAACAACTAGTTGATGAGTCATTGAGAAATAAATGAGAGTCTCAAGTCAAAAAGGTTTCTGGAGGTCAGAGTGAGACACTTCACTTCGCCTGACAACGACGGTGGTGACGTTGTGGCAACGACATGGTGACGTGGCGTTGTGGCAACGATGTGGTAATGTCTTCAATGGTCGGTGCAGCCGCCGCTGGGAGTCGTCCGGGACAACGGAACATCGTCTTCACGATACGGCCCGGTTGTCCCTCGCAGCTACGCCGTTTCTGTTTGCGTCGACGGCTCCCAGGAAGACAACCCCCAGTCAGCCGTCGTCCTCGTTGTTCCAGCAACCACTTCTTCTTTTTTCCCCGTTGTCTCGTGCTTCTTTTCTTTCCGAATCCCGTCGTCTTCTTCTTTCTTGCACCTCGTTGAAACGTATGATCACAGTTCACCACACAACCCCCCTTTAAGCTTTTTCTTTTTCAGAAAAGAAAATCCAGTTGCACCGGTGGACATATACATGGTAAACCAAAAACAAACTAAAACAAAGCTCATATTTGCTAGATAACGCATGAAAAAAAAAATTCAGATCCTGCTCATAAAATCTGCTCCTACATTTTCGCTACCCTTAATATGTACAACTCTAAAACTATATTCTTGAAGCAAGAGAGACCACCTTAATACTCTACTGTTTATCAACTTCGCAGTGTTCAAGTACTGCAGTGGGTGGTGGTCCGTTTGTACCGTAAACTGTTTCCCGTATAGGTACATGTGGAATTTCTGAACCGCCCATATTAGGGCCCAGCATTCCCGTTCGACCGTGGAATATTTTTGCTCGCGCGGGAGAAGAAGTTTGCTCGCGTATGATAAGGGATGTAACAATCCCTCGTGCTCTTGCATCAGGACGGCGCCAATCGCGGTCTCTGATGCATCCGTTCTCACTACAAACTCCTTGGTGATATCGGGTGCTCGCAGCACAGGCCTAGCGGAGAGAGCGACTTTTAACATATTAAAAGCCTCTTCTCTTTCGTCTGTCCAATGTACCTTGTTGGGCTCTCTTTTCTTTGTCATTTCCACTAGGGGTTGGGCGATCTGAGCATAACCTGATATGAACTGCCTGTAATAATTTGCCAGGCCCAAGAATGATCGGACCTGCTTCTTCGTCTGTGGCTTTTGCGCCTTTATGACCTGCTCTAGTGTGCGCAGCAAAGGTCGAATCTTTCCTTCATCTAGCTCGTGGCCCAAGAACGTGATCTTTTTCATGCCAATCTCGCACTTGCTGGGCTTGATTGTTAAGCCTGCCTGACGAACTCGCTCCAGCAAACACTGCAGCGTCGTCAGGTGCTCTGACCAAGTCCCCGGTGGCAACGAGAACATCGTCGATATAATGTTGCACATATGGTATCCCGTTCAAGAGTTCTCTCATGAGTCTTGTGAAGACTGCTGAAGCGGTCTTTAATCCAAAAGGCAAGTATCTAAACTGGTACAAGCCCGAGGCTGTTCAAAACGCCGTAACTGGCTTGGATTCTTCTGTCAACGGTATTTGCCAGTAGCCTTTAACTAGGTCAAACTTGGAGAAGTATCTCTTCTTCCCCACTTCCGCAAACACATCATCTGTGCGGGGCATGGGTTCTGCGTCACCTACCAAGATGTTGTTGATGCGACGAAAGTCGACGCATATCCGGAAGGTGTTGTCTGGCTTCCGCACTAGAATAAGTGGAGACCTGTATGGGGATTTTGACTTTTCAATGATTCCTCCCCGCAACATCTCCTGCACTTCCTTTTCAATCGTCGCCCTCATGGCTAGGGGCACGGGATGCTCTGGTGTTTGGGGCGGCACTTCGCTTGTGAGTTGAAGTCGGCAATCAAGGATGTTTGTTTTCCCTGGCAGGTCTGAAAATACATCATCGTACCTCTTCAAAAGGGCCCTTAGCTGATCGTTTTCTTCTTTTGAGAGGTCTTGGCTAAGCATTACATCCTTGGCTCCTTGTGTCTTTTGAAGCGACGGGGCTGATAGCAAGCCGTCCTTTTCGTCTTCTACGGCGAAAATGGCCGATGTCTGGGGTTGAGGCTGTTCTTGCTTTCCCCGCTCTTCGTACCGCTTGAGTAGGTTGATGTGGAAGAGCTTTTGCGTGTGTCCCAAATCGATGAGGTAGTCGTAACCTCCCTTAGTGCCGACAACCGGAAATGGACCTTTCCAAGCCATGAGCAGCTTGTTTTGGGTGGTCAGCAGCAAAAGCAGTGCTCGGTCACCAACTCGCAGTTGACGGTTTTGGGACTTTTTATCAAAATATTTCTTTTGGACCTGTTGCGCCTCAGCAAGATTCTTGTGGGCCGGCTCCATCGTCTCTTCAAGGCGATCTCTTAAGTCCAACACATACCCGTAGGTAGTCTTGACCTCTTCGGTGAGACTGCCGTTTGTCCACAGCTCCTTCAGGATGGTCATAGGGCCTCGAATGTGCCTTCCGTATATCAACGTAAAAGGCGAAAACCCCAGACTACGCTGCGGTACCTCTCTGTATTCGAACAAGAGGGGAGTGATATAGCGATCCCACTGTCGCGGCTTCTCTTGGCACATCTTTCGGAGCATTGTCTTCAGCGTCCCGTTAAACTTCTCCACCATCCCATTGCACATGGGATGATACAGCGTGGTGGTTAGCTGTTGTATGGACAAGAGGCAGGCTACCTCTTTCATCAAGGCTGAAGTGAACGTTGGAGCCTGGTCGCTAAGTATTTCCCGTGGTACTCCAACGCGCGAGAACATCTGGATCAAGCCCTCGGCCACGGTTTTGGAGTCCATCGACGGAAGTGCCACTGCATCGGGATATCTTGTGGCACAGTCGACCATGGTCAAAATGAAGCAGTTTCCCGTTTCTGATGAGGGCGAGAAGGGTCCGATCCGGTCGATTGCGACGCGCTCGAATGGCGTTTCGATTATAGGCATCTTCCCAAGCGGAGCCTTTGCCATCTTCCCCTTGGGGGTCACTCTCTGACATACAGCATATTAACTCTCGTAACCCCTTGCAGCAGAGAATGCCTCAGTGGCTCAAGGAAACAGCTAGTCGTTGAGTATCTAAAGTATGAAATCGGACTTGGTCAACATGGTCACAGTTCTTTTTCTTTGCAACGTAAAAATACCTGCCCCTAATTATCTTGTACCAAAATATGCCCATCGATTATGGATGTACTGCACATATTGACGAATGCTCTCCTTCAAGCAATATAGAATTTAAGTGGATCCACATTTCTGACCAGTCCAAAATGACGCCTGCAAAGCCTTGTCGGGCGGCTTTGGCCGCCTTTTGCTGCAGCATTGAAGACTGATTTCTAAATAAATAAAGTCATGTTTTATGAAAGGAAAACGTCATTGTTCCTTATCGCAAGCTAGATATGAAAACTTATATGGGCCATGTAGTAATTTAACCTGTATTGGTGCTCCTAGGAAAGCTGCAGAGGAAAAACTGGTCCAGGAGGAAACTACCGAACCAACTGGGCAACGCCTGAACAGGACGACGGCCAAGCAAGAAGAGGCCGAATGAGTGAATCTGTTAATTTCAATAAAAATGTAAAAATCATCTAATAGTGTTTCACTGTCCAGTTATCACAAACTGTTTTCCCAATTGGTTCCAATTAGCAATGCTCAATCGGGTATCAACAATTGGAATCAACTGGGATTTTTTTTCAATGAGGAATCCGAAATCACAAAGGGTTTTCCCAATTGGTCGTGTCCAATTGGCAATGCTCAATTGGGTTTTGACAATTGGAACCAATTGGGATTTTTTCAATGAGGAATCCGAAATCACAGTTCTCCCCATTGGTTCCAATTGTCGGAAACCAATTGGACCCAATGGACATTTTTAACTGGGGTGCACGATGCATACATTGTCACCAGTTATTATGGTGCTGTTTCTAATTACAGGAACTGAGCCATATATGGCATTGCAAAGGATCCTCACGTCAGCACAGCTTTTGAAGGATGTCCCAAGACTGTCTGGAAAAGGCCAAACGTACCGACTGGAGTCATTCCACAGCCTGCTGATCAGGTTCAACCCCAAATCGACACACTTCAGGTTTGAGGGCATGGAGGCACAGTAGGCTGGGATTGTGAAATTTGATAGAACAATGCCCATTTGTACTCTTTTGTATAATTGTGAAATATGCTACAGTCATGTTAATTTATCGCTTTTACCCCCATTCTTTTTTTTTTTTTATTTTTGCAAAACTGCCATTGCTGTCATGCATTATAACCAAAAATTCCGACCGGAAGCAGGCGACAACCAAGGACAACAAGAAACGGTTTGCACTCAGATATCCATAGTCTCGGAAGGGTGAATGGTCTATCCAGCGAATCATGGAGACTGCGTCATACGGTAAATGCAAACACATTTATTGAGACATTGGCTGCAGCTTGAAGATCCCGGTTCTTTGCTTGTTTAGACTAGCTATGTTCAGAGGCTGCTCCACTGCTGCTTAGATTTGGCGGAAGCTTCCAGGACATACCAGGAGGCCGCAGCTGCCAATAGGCCGCAGCTGCCAATAGGCCCCGCCCGCCAAGGCCCCCTTTGTGCAGTGTTGCCCAGAGGCCAAACAAGGAAGCTGCAGTCTTGGCCAACAGGACTCGCTTCCACAATCAGGAGTAGAGGACGCCAGTCTACGTAGCTGAGGGAAACTCCTCTCTGATTCTAGCCTCCACACATCACGGAAACCTGATGCGGCGGAACCTGCCCAGTCTTCCCCATATCCACCAAACGAACTCCTTGTAGGCTGTGTACCTGTATTTCTTGGGAATAGTAAGAACAGCATAGTTGAGTATGCAGAAAAGCCTCACACACGAGCAGTGTGTGTAAGGGCGTGACATTGTTATATCCAGCAGTAGTATTTGTAGTTTGTGTGTTAGTAATAAACTGTCGGCCATAATGTGTGATCAACTTCTTCCTCCTTTATACCTCTGCCCCAAGGCTTACGCAACATGTCCCCCTGCTTCATTCTTTTCTCACTTTTTTTTTTTTACCATCTATAGGTTGAGTCTACAACACTACCAGCTAAACTTGTGACCTGGTTTCACACGGGTGTAGGCCCGTTTGTCATGTGCGCATTCGTCATAGGCCAACTGGTAATAGGCCCGTACGTCACAGAGGAACATTTGTCATAGGGGAATTTGGGGGACAAGGAAAGTTTGTCACTGTGCGAACCGGATATTTGCGAATTTGCACAACTTATATTTGCTTGAATTTGCATGCAATTAGATTAGCATATTATATTATATTTTTGCTGAAAAGAGGGAACATCTAAAGAAGTCATCGTAGTACCTAGAAAATAACAGGTTTATGAGCGAAATAAAAACAAATTAAAAAGCAATATTCCAAGCTGCCGCCCTCAAGGTTTCAAGACGATTGCGACCATCGTACCGGCTCACAATGATTTGAAGACGCTGGTTGCTGTCGGCGTGCTTCTTGGACACCCTCGAAGATGTCGTGCCGCCCTCTGCTTGAGCCAGCTTCACCTTTGTCAAGGACTGCTCTTTCTTGATGCAGCCCAGGAATGCCCAGATATTGAGAGAACTGCAGCCCCCATTGCTCTGGCATAAAAAAAAAAGAACACACACACTCGTGGAGAAAGCTTTTTGAGTGAAATTTTGAGCCCCAAATGCAAAAATGTGCTACAGAAAACTTCCCAAGTTCTCAGAGGATTAGGTCAGTTTTTACCTGCAGTCCCCGGTGCCACGCTTCAATGTTGCTGTCCGTCCTTGGCATTTCTGCTAGTGTTAATTCTCTGACTGACCAAACCAGAGGAGGAAAGGTGGCCGACGACGAGCCGTTTCGACGGGGTATCCCGATATACACGTCCTCGAAGTAGTCCGCCACGAGTGAGGCATCGGTGGGGAAAACTTCGAAAAGGTCCTGGAAGGCCTCGGGAATGACGGCGATTGGCAGGAAAGCCAATGCTGGAAGCATTCTCATCTGAAAATTCACAAAAAAATAAAGTAACCAATTGGCTTAACTGAAGACAACAATAAGACATATGAATGTCTTATTGGGACGTAGGTCAGCCCGATTATTAACTGCGTCATGCATCCTGAAGCAGCTACCCTAAGCGCCCAAGCAAAGCGCTCAGTTACCCCGGTGGATGACAGCGAGAGCGAAGGCTAGCTATGCAGGGAAGAGGTTGCACAGAACGGCTGAGACGCACTACAACTTGCCAAACTCAAAAAAAAGTTTTCTCTTAAAAGGGAATTCACTCCCATTAAATTTGCAGAATTGAATGCCAATAAAGTGTGCTATTAAATGAGCTATGACGTGTATTTTTCCTTGGTCCGCTTCAAGGTGCCATTGATGGCCGAACAAGAGCTAAAAACATGTTTTGCAAAGATTTCACATTTTTTATTGGCACACTGCGAAATGTTGTCATTCAAAAATTTTTTTGTCAGTAGTAAAGCTCGGTGACCGTGCATAAAAAATTCTAGAATGGCCCAAATGGTGCTACTGTATTTTTACAAAAAATCGGAAATCACCCCATTTTGTACCTTTTATGCAAATGATACCGCAAAACAAAACATTTTAATACATAGCCGAAGTAACTACATAATATTGCCCAACCATTCTAGAATCAAACAAACAAAAAACGGTGAAGATCGACCGAGATCCTGATTTCTTGTGATTTTTCTTGTGGTACTCTCTTTTACACACAACTGCCAAAATAAAGTGTCCATGTCGGCAAATATTTTTTTTTCCACAAAAATTCTCGGGCACGTGACTATTCAGGTTAAAAGTAAAAGCTAAAAAATTTTTTCAAATTAATCCAAGATGGTTGCACGCAAACCTTGTTACGTTTGAGGTGGAATGACCCAGTGACCTCATTTGTATTTAAACCAAAGTTTGCAAGATGGCAACATTCAGAAAGTGCAGGCTCATATCTTTTACTCATCACTTATTCCTTACATTGTTTCCTCATTTACTGAACAGCGTACCTCTGCGAATGAATATAAGTATTTTGGACTTAATGTTTCATTGGCCACTCATAAGTCATACCATCTCTGTTGCAAATCATTCTTTAGGTTTTTTTAAACACTTTAAACTTGACCCTTCATATTTAAAGCATTTTACCTGTTGGAAACCCTAATATGCATCTGCCTTCAGAGACCTGCATTAAGCTTGTATAATAAAAAAACATTGAATCAGTTTAGGATAGTGCAATATTGCTTAGATTTCTGCTCTTTCAGATGCATTTCATTTTTTAAAATTTGTGCAAACCTTTCAGACCGTACTTTCCACACTACTATACACATACACTAGGCCTAAACTCCTGTGATTGCCTCTAACATCCCGACCCCAGCAACTACCCTCTTTGCTGTTCGAAGTCTGGTATGTGAGAAATGCTTTCCTTGTCGCTTCTGCCTAATCGTGAAGCCATGGTTCATCCTGGTGCCGCCAGGGCCACTGACGCAATGTCTGTGATCCATGAGCAGGGGTGAGACAGGTGAAAAAGGTTTTGGAGCAATTTTCGAAGCAGAAAAATCTGGATTGTGGAGCAGCTTAGGAGCACAAAATTCTCGTTCTGGAGCAGCCGTTTATGAATTTTGCAGCAACTTCGAAATACAAAAGTCTACAGTTTGGAGCAGATGAGGAGCATAAAACGTTAGAGCAGCTTATCAGAAATTTAAATCATAAAAGTTTTTTCTTTTTAATCGTTATTTTTGTCCACCCTGATTCCAAAAAATCAGCGCCGATACGCACCGATAAAATATAAAGGAAAAAAACGGAAAAGACAAACGCGAGTTTTATGCGCATAGATGAGAACAGGAAAAACAGGCTTGCTGCAATGTTAGGTGGGCACCAGGTACCTCAAGCTTATACTAACTGGTGCCAAAGCGCAATTGCAGTGCAAAACCTTAAAGCGGCGATTCGAGAGCATGGACAGGGAAGCACGGTTTACTACAACCAGACATTGATCGCAAGCTCGTAGAAAGCACGAAAAGATAGAAGAAAAAAAAAATCCCCATACAAGTGAGTGACAAGGTCAATAGTGAATCGGTAGAAAAATTAAGACACCATATGCACGCTAAATACAGGTGTGTGACCGGTTCATTCGACTGATCATGCACTGGAAGCACGCATGTGATAACCGATTTTGACGAGATTACGGACATGAATGAACACTTCCACAATGGAGGCGCTCAGTAGCACTTTTAAAAAAAAGTTTACTCTCAGAACGAAAGAAATACTTAGGTTTGCCCATCTTGATAGTCTGTGCGTCGTATCTCTCACGGCCAGAGAGCGAGATTGCGTGACAGCGCACCGTTAGCATGCAGTCACAAATGACAGCGGAAAGTAGTAGGGAAATCGGGAAAAGACCATGTATCATAGGTGAAATCTTCGAATCCGGCGCTTGCTTGCACCACCCTGTACCCGTGCCGTGCACTTTATTATGACGAGATTGAATGTTGCCAACCAAGCTCTCGTTTCCCGATGAATCTAGCGTCGCCGCAAACTTTTTTTTAAAGTTCTTTGGCACAGTGTGGCACAATTTCGACCAATTTCGCGTTTTTGGCGCAGCTAGGTGCAGGAAATTGGGTTTGTATCAAAATGGCGCAATTGGCGCAGATGTCACACCTCTGCATGAGGTCAAATAATGTGACCACTTGATGACATCAGACCATGGCCACCATTTGGACATGTTTTCCGGACGTACCATATTTGCTTGCATAATGAATGCGCCGCACCCCCCAAGTTGGTCGTCAAAATTCAGATCGATTTTTTTTTCAGCCCTGCGTAATTAACGCATCTCCTCCTGACACAGGCTCAAAACGCTGTTCTGCGCTTGTTTCAGTGGTCTTGGTTGCCATTTTGGGAGAGTTCCTGGTATTTAGCTGGTGTAGCTTCATTCGGCGGTGGTCCTATAATCGACAAAGGCGATGCGACAAGCTTATGCAGCATCGGCTATCTTCCCGTCTGCATCGCTAGTCGGCCATGTTGCAAATGTTGTGCCCAAAATTAAAATAGCAACCGGAAGTTTACACTAGGGCGCCTTCTTCCGGAGGAGTTCCAAAAGCCCGCTGAAGTCACTCGAGCAAGAGTAACATGGAAGTACGCAGGCATAAGGCATACAAGCATTGCAGATGCAGGCTTGTACGACATATTTAAAAGGAGGGCTTACCTTTATACTTATAGTATGCCTTTCTCATGTGCAATTTTTGAGTTAACATACCGTATTTGCACAAATATAACGCGAGTTTTTTCGAAATTATGTGCTCCAAAACGCACCTTGCATTATATTCAAAATCGAGTTCAGCCACAAGGCGCGCGAGTCTGGAGAAAACTAGAGGAAAAAGCTATCCCTCCTGCTCAACGCAGGAGATCCGGTGGGAAAAGAAGTGGGGATGTGGAAGGGAATTTATTATTATCGCTTTTGTGTTTGTACAACGCGCACGCCACAGAAACTCAGCGCACGCGCACGCCATGCGGGCACTGGTCAATTCGAACCAAGCCAAGCCGAGCCAAGCCAAGCTAAGACTGGCCAAGACCACCACCAACCGCGTTTACGCAATCGTGGAACACGAGGCATTTGTTTATACAGTTGGACCAGAACATGAAATGTGATTGTGTATCGGATTAAGCAGTCTTTTCTCTGCCTGCGCATTGTTCAGTTTCTGCTCCAGAGTGATCTGGTGTTTGTGTGTTGGTGCTTCTGCTTCGTGCCTTGTTTAGGTTATGGGCTGCCGAGGAGCTCGCACAGAAGAAAAAGGAACTACCAGACAAGCAGGTGCGGTGCTGCTGCTTATCTGCGTAGTCGCCAAGTGGATTGTAGACGGAAGGACCTGAGCAGTGAGGATGAGCACAGTCAAAACATAAACTGATAATTCTTCTACCTATTTCCATTGACTTTTCACATCTGCTATGCCCCCGAGTGCGAGAAATTGACGCGGCCACGGTTCGTGTTATAATAGTCATAATTTTTTATTTTCTTTTTGAGGGCATCAAAACCTGCCCTTGCGTTATATTCGTGGTCGCGGTATATTTGTGCAAATACGGTATTTTTTCCTCATTTCACCATTTCCAAATATTCTTAACCCTCATAATGAATGCACCTCACTTTAAATTCTTTAAATTTGCATTGATTTTTCAATTAAAAAATTGTGTTCATTGTACGAGTAAATATGGTACTACTCTTTTTGTTTGTTACCCTCCCTGGGGGTTGTTAAGGTACTTAAATAAATGTGTTTATTCTTTATCATTTGTAACCTGGTCAACAGTACCTCATAATTTCTGTTGCCTAAGAACTTGTTCTTACACCAGCTGGTGCACAACGACTAGAGAGAACAGTCGACAGCAGGCCGAGAGTGCAACCTGGAGGGCTGCACACAAGGACTGCCTCACAGCATCGTCCTTCGGGGTTTCCTGATCAGGAAGTCATGGACCTCCATAGGGTTGCGCAACCTGTGCAAGTTCGTGATCTGTCCCGCGTCAGAGCTATCCAGTGAGTGCCAAACCTATGTAGACAAACTAGAGAGTTTACTTGCAGAACCAGCATTGTGCAGCTGCTCTATATTGCTGGTTTTTTTGTGGACTTTTTTTTTCCGCTGTGCCTAAAAGTACGCCGGACGTACCCTGTGCGCAGAATCTGAAGATATGTCGGACGTACCCGAGACACGGAGCCTAAAGATATGTCGGACGTTCGCGATGAAGCCTTTTCTTAAAGATACGTCGGACTGTCGAACCACTCCAAGATCACATTGAAACTGTCGACAAGCCACACAGCCACTTACGGACGTAGGGTCGGTATGCTTACGATGCGAGGAGAGCTCTAGATGCGGGCACAGAATGTCAAGGACACGGGCAGCGAAAATCGCACTTCTTCAAAAACAAACGAGTAAAGGCCACCCATAAATGTATGCAACTGCATTAAAACATCAAGGTCAAGCGAATGAAGTCAGTGGTGCTATGAAGTGCATTTCGAATGTTTCGCAAGAGCAAAGCCTGTTGATCGGCACACTGCCGTTCAATTGTGCTCTAGTTTGGTTTCAGACAAAAACCACGAACAAACCTTTTCCGGAATGCTCACTGATGTTTTGGCTTTCCAATCAAATCGGTTTCACTCGCTGAGCAAAGCTCCATTTGACTGAAAAAGAGCAGCGATCTCAGCTGTCCCGTCACCGGCAGGGCCCCAATTGTCCCGTCATCACAGGAAGTTTCCTTCATAGAGATGAGTAGTCTCCTCGTGGTTCTCTTCGACCACTGTAGCTCCCTCGACGCTGTTGAGTGTGCCAGTCCGGAAGTGGTGCCGCCACCATGCTAGTTGTAGTCAACATCAACGGTCTACACCTGGCTGGGCTGTATTATGATCTGCACATTATTATGACACATGGAATTATACGGGCAGGGTAATGCAGAAGATGGTAATAAGCCACTTGTGCTGAACTAAACGAGTTGTCTCGTCAATCAGCGGAAGTCGAATGCCCCAAAATGAACACACTTGCTCCTTTGCTCCGTTTTGACGGAAACACACTGGGCTGTTGTTTGCTCTAAAGCTCAACCAGTGATTTCGACCGTTTTCTCTGCGCTACGTGAGCAGCTGGTGCATGATTATCTCTAGATGCTCGGAGCATCTCAAACTTCGGCATTGCGCCTCTAGGTGACGCAGCATGGGTCGAAAACCATGCTGTTCGCACTTTATCTCATGCCAACTGTAAAACATTCAACTGTGCAATAACTTTTGATGTCTTAATTTTGTATGAATGGACTTCAGGTGAATGCCTATCCTGCACTGAAGGTGACAGTGCTTGTGTGTGTACATTTTGCAGACATGGCATCAAGCATGAGCCATAAGCGGCGCAGCAGTATAGGCGGGCTCTACATTCACTTGGGCATAATGTCGAGACCTCTTCCTGTGGCCTACTAGTGGACCCTGCTTCCCCTTGGTTGGGGGCCTCACCCAATAGGCTCGTGTTTGACCCCACTGAGGCTGTCCCTCACAGTGTCATTGAGGTAAAATGTCCATACAGCATTTGGGACTGTACAGAGCCAGACCCAAAAAGCTTTTACATGGTGAAAGACTCTGCAGGGGTGTACAGACTAAGCCGCGACCATTACTACTACTTTCAACTTCTGGGACGGTCGGCACTCTCCGCCTCTCTCTGGGGAGGTTTTGTAGTGTATTGCAAGCACTTTTTGATCGTAGAGAAAATTTTGTTTTCTTTGCCAGACTGGGTTCGGTGCAAGGAAGCGCTGGACACGTTTTATTTTGCCACGCTGCTTCCTTACCTAGTGCAGCAACGTAACCGGTCGAAAGTGTGAACTGAACCTTAGCAGTTAATCCCCAAAGTGGTTGAGCAATGAGAACTGAGTAGCATTTTAGTGTTGTTTTCTGGGTGAAAGAATGAAAACTGTTTATGAGTAGCATTTGAGCTTGTTTTCTTCATTATTTTTACCTTTTATGATTGAAGTATGTGTGCAAGGTTCCGGGCCTCTGAAGATAACATCTGGGTTGTTCATTGTACAACACATTAGTTAAAGTACCTTAGATATCGCAGAGAAGAAAAACATACAAGTTATCAAGTGTATGCATATTCACTAAAAACCAGGAAACTTGTTGTGGTTCTGTATACCTTGTGATTATTATGTTTTCTGTTCTTTCAAACATTTTTCGTTAATTTAGACAAGTATCATCATATGAATTCTAGAAGCTTTAGAAAATTTTCAAGAGTGTTGTGCTGCTCACGGGCCAAATCTATACAAAAACAAATCATCTACTCTTGACCTACCTTTTAAAGTAAGCATTTCAATGTGTGTAAATAAAGCGGAGTATCACCCCATACCATGACTGTCACGTTCTTGTTCTTAAAGTAATGCAAACACATTTAAAACTGCTGATCAAGTGGAGAAGCAAAGTACTGCAATACACATCTTAGTTTGTATTTTGGACCATTGTTTTATTTGTGACATTTGAGGAGTTTCTCGGAATGCGCCAAATCCACCTCAAGAGAGACGGGGAGCCCTGCGATGTGGCTGCCTGTACATTGGTTTGTATTGCATAGAAAAAATTATTAAACAGGATAACTGGGCGAGTTGGTATGGATTCATAATGGAACAGCGCGAATTTTTGCAAGGACAGGAGAAGGAACTGGACAGGACGAGCGCTGACTAACAACTGAAAGGTTTATTCTCAAGAAACCACGAAGAAAAACACATAACACGACTCTCTAATCACGATGGAAGTGCGCATGCGCCTCACAAAATTGGGTGCTATCAGTTACACAATGTTACATGCGTCATCCCCGATCTAAAAATTCGACCTCATTGTCCAGCAAAATCAAGGAAGCCTGACTCACGCAGGCTGACCCCTCCTTCTTTATTCTATGAGCTTCAACAATCTCTCGAGCTTTTTGGTCTCGGTGTTTATACAAAACAACGGCTTTTTCCAGTAACGGGGTGCAGGCGCAGTCCCTGCAGTGTAACGCCAAGTGGGAGCTTGCCGTACCTGTTAAAGAACTACGGTGTTCCCGCAGGCGAATGTTGAGGCACCGCCCCGTTTGTCCGATGTATACCTTCCCGCAGGTGAAGGGTATCTTGTATACTACACCCAAGGTGCATGGCACGAACTCAATGCGGTGTTTTATGCCGCACGGGCTCTCCCCCTGTTTCTCTACCTTGTTAACGCGCTTTTCCACTGCAGAGCAAATACTGCTTAGCTTGTTACGTGCCGAGAACACAACATCTACCCCGAACTTCGAGGCTGCTCTCTTAAAGCCGTGTGACATGTGGTGCACATACGGGATGACTGTGACCTGCTTTTTTACTTTTGTTGCTACTTTTCCCCGCGCCTCACCCTTAATGTTTTTCACTGTTGCTTCCGCCGCCGAGGCGATAACCGATTCCGGGAAACCGGCGTCTTCTAGTCTACCTACCTGGGCGGCAAGGCTTTGTCCCACTCTGTGGTAGCAAGACTTTGTTACTGCGGACAGGATACATGATTTTGCAATGCCTCTTTTGACGAGCTTGGAATGCCCCGATCTAAAATCAAGGAGATTCTTTGTGGTCCTGGGATGATGCCACCAACAAACGTGGCTCTGGCTCACATCTACGCTCAGATCCAAAAACTGGATTGTCTGGTCTCTTGGGGTCTCAAAAGTGAACCTCAGGCCCAAACCCTGCTCCTTGAACGTTTTTAGCGCGAAATCAAGGGTCCGACTAAAGTTACCTTTGTCGACGAAAACTAAATAATCGTCGACATACCTAAAAATCTTTTTAGCGGGGGCCTTCAACAGACCGTCAAGTGCCCTGTCAACCTTTGCAAGGAAGATGTTACTCAGCACGGGTGCTACCCTGGACCCTATGCACACCCCAGACTTTTGCACATACACCTTGTCATGCCACCCGATAAAGGTAGCCCTCAAATAAAATGACAACACTTCTAGAAACCCTTCGACCGGAATCCCGCATTGGGACCTAAACGCAACTTCATCGTTGAGGTCAGTAATGCATTCTTTTACGATGTGAGCCAGAGCCACGTTTGTTGGTGGCATCATCCCAGGACCACCAAGAATCTCCTTGATTTTAGATCGGGGCATTCCAAGCTCGTCAAAAGAGGCATTGCAAAATCATGTATCCTGTCCGCAGTAACAAAGTCTTGCTACCACAGAGTGGGACAAAGCCTTGCCGCCCAGGTAGGTAGACTAGAAGACGCCGGTTTCCCGGAATCGGTTATCGCCTCGGCGGCGGAAGCAACAGTGAAAAACATTAAGGGTGAGGTGCGGGGAAAAGTAGCAACAAAAGTAAAAAAGCAGGTCACAGTCATCCCGTATGTGCACCACATGTCACACGGCTTTAAGAGAGCAGCCTCGAAGTTCGGGGTAGATGTTGTGTTCTCGGCACGTAACAAGCTAAGCAGTATTTGCTCTGCAGTGGAAAAGCGCGTTAACAAGGTAGAGAAACAGGGGGAGAGCCCGTGCGGCATAAAACACCGCATTGAGTTCGTGCCATGCACCTTGGGTGTAGTATACAAGATACCCTTCACCTGCGGGAAGGTATACATCGGACAAACGGGGCGGTGCCTCAACATTCGCCTGCGGGAACACCGTAGTTCTTTAACAGGTACGGCAAGCTCCCACTTGGCGTTACACTGCAGGGACTGCGCCTGCACCCCGTTACTGGAAAAAGCCGTTGTTTTGTATAAACACCGAGACCAAAAAGCTCGAGAGATTGTTGAAGCTCATAGAATAAAGAAGGAGGGGTCAGCCTGCGTGAGTCAGGCTTCCTTGATTTTGCTGGACAATGAGGTCGAATTTTTAGATCGGGGATGACGCATGTAACATTGTGTAACTGATAGCACCCAATTTTGTGAGGCGCATGCGCACTTCCATCGTGATTAGAGAGTCGTGTTATGTGTTTTTCTTCGTGGTTTCCTGAGAATAAACCTTTCAGTTGTTAGTCAGCGCTTGTCCTGTCCAGTTCCTTCTCCTGTCCTTGCAAAAATTCGCGCTGTTCCATTATGAAAAAATTATGTTGGATAACATACCAAGTAAGTTGGATAACATGCCCACGTAACCTGGGGTTTCATCAAAAAATCTGTTGACGTCTGGTTCACGAATTTGACTCGTTTAGAAAAAAACTACACATTTGAGTGCAAAAGTGACAAAGATGTGGACATGCATTCACTATTCACAGGGTTTGATCAAGGGACTTTGGAAATCGCTCAAAATCACACAAATAGCCCACATCTCGTTGACAACGGGAGCTATTGAGATTGGTACAGGCCAGTCAAAGTGGTGAAAATTTTTAATTCTCTGAATTTGTCTCTCTACATGTGTCCAAAGCGTTGCTATTGCTTCCGTCTCCCTCACTTCCTCGATTGTAAGATGTTTTCTCCGGAGGAAGGGAGGTCTGTTCAGCTGAACGCCAATGTTGGTCAGCGGGTCCTCAATCTTAAAGCCTTTGTCAGCCATGATTGAGTCACCATCATTAAAAGCCAGCTTCAGAAAACCACTTTTCTCGACACACTCTTTGTCAGACATGAACCCAGTGAATAGATCAGACAAAAAGGTCACTGTGCCATCAGGGGATATTCCGACCAGCCCTTTCAATGTGTTTGTAGACTTGTACTTGAAAAAGTTGCTGACTGCAGGGCAAGTGAGCTTGAGGCTTCGCACTTAACTTCAGTAGCGTCAAGAAT